ATTCCAAGAATTATTAACACAAATGGACACTATACAAAGACAATCAATTGATCAAAATTTACGAAAACTTGCCGAAACCGCAGGATTTGCAGAGATTTATACACAAGATTATAGCGGATATTTAAAAGACATTAAAGACTATATATATCTAAACGGTGAAAAATACAGACCAAAAGATATTTCACCTACAAATATTTTCAGCTTTGTTACCCTAAAAAAACGAAAATCTAGATTTTCTAGGATGGCCCTATTACATCTTAGAAAAATTAACTATCCTATACGCAATGTTTAACTTTGTAGGATTTCTTTTTTCACTTTTAAAAGGAATCTATAACACATGCGCTATACACACACAAGTAAATAGACAAGCAAGTGTAGCACGCATACTGTTTGCAGGATTTTTTGGAATTTTTTCATCATCAATAAACAAAATTCTTCTAGATGCACAAATAAAAGAATATAACACAAAAATAGCGACAAGACAGAACACGCACGACGAAGAACATAATAATATAGAAGTAACACCTACCGCACCACAGTTGCCAGCCCTACCACATAACCATCCATTATCTTTAGTCCCACGTAATTTCCGAAACCTAGCAATAACAAATAACCCAAATTTTAGAGCAAATATATCACAAAGTCCCATACAGCATATAATGACACACCATCCACTAGATGAAAATACCTATGAACAAATTATAGAACAACCCCATACCACCGCTTTTCAGTCTCAGAATAATCCTTTTTTTAGCCCACGATGAGCCGACAACTTGGATCCCTACACCGCTCAAATTCCCACCCAGCCAACCTCCAAACTCCAATCCCAATAATCCCACTTTTTGCTTTCCCACCATCCAATTTTCCAATTATTAATATATCATCAAGCACGAATTCGGATACTAACTCAGATATTTCAGTTTTATACTCTATCTCACAACTTAATAACCCTAATATAGAAACCCCTGACGAATTTGCAGACTCCGAACCATCTCCATCAAATAATTTTCAAACCAACTCCTCAGTTTTTTCAAAACCCCCTTTTCAACCAATCCCACCAAATAGTTCACTCCCATCCGTTTCCATTCCTTCTTATGCTTCGCAAGTAACCCCAACCTACTCTCCACTTCATTCTGACCGATCATATAATAATTCTCCATATACCCCCCAAATTTCCCAGGAACTCGATAATTTTATTACCCTACAACAACAGTTAATACACCCTAACACCCTCACTATACATCAACTTTCATCCACAATAGAATCCTCAAACCCACCTACTCCTACACCCTCCTCAGCTTACACTGCATCATTAGCACAATCATCCACATCCACCGAAACATCAAATAGCACTAACCGAGCTTATCGCACTTTTAAAAGAAAATTCCCGAGCCATCCATTCCCCACCAAACCAGGAACAGCCTGCGAATATATTAATCACCCACAACACACCAACACGAAAGATTTTCTAGCAATCACCTTACCCTCATTTCCACAATATACATTAAATACACCTAACGACACTAATGACACACGTAGTTTTGTAGATGTTTTAATGCCCACACTTCATTGGACAGCATATTGTCATTTTACTAACCCCCTTTGCCTGCCACTATCTAGTACTCATGACGACATAGAAAAGAAAAAAAAATATGTTATATAGACTCACCGCAACACTAACACCTAGACAATTTACTTACGTAGGATATAATAAATTACTAAAAACATTCACTGCACCCCGAGCTAACGAATTTACAATAGTATATTACGACCATAATATCATCCGAACTAATCAAGACCAATTTTTAGATGAAGATCGCTTCGCTAACCCACAACTAACAGAAAAATTTTTCATCAAAACGTCATATGTATTCACACTTAATATTTTTGATAGAAAAAATGATCACATCATTTCCGAAGCACTAAACGATATTCAAGCTTACGAAAGTTTCAAAGACAAATTTCAGTTATTTTCACTAATTTTTCAATTCCTTGCACCACATGAACACGATTTGCACGGTTCACACGACATTATGTTACGCACTAAACAGACTCACACATATACATACTACCGCTTCATACAAAATCATTTTGATTTGCATACTCCATCAAGACAACCACACCATCGTTTTCAGTTTCTTAATTCGAAATACACATCACCATTTTTCCTTAATTTCATTTATTGCATCCAGGATACTAACCTCCACGGCATCCTCCGCAATTATGACCCAATAACTCAAATGTATATATTTTGTCCCATCACGAAGACCTTTAACGCCGAAGAATCCAGACCCTTCCTTCTCCCGCATGAATTTATCCAGCCTATAGAAATACCAATATTAGAATTCATTCACAATACTAAATATAATCACAAAATATATAACCTCATTCAAAACACACCTTACGAGTTTGCAGTAGGCACCGAAGAACTAAAAACCATTAAAACACTTCAATTGCTTTGGCCACTGCTCCAAACTAAAAACATCATTCGCAGACTAGCAAAATTACTAACAACATCAGATATGATACGCGACATCTTCCCCCACGGCTTTTTCCCAGACGATTAACAGGTAAGTATAATTTAAAGTACTCTTCACTAATAAATTTAAATTAGTACTAATCATTCTTTATTCATGTTTCATTTACATTTCTAGTCTTCATACCACCATCATCTGCAAAAACAGAAAAAAAACAAACTTGTTAAAATTCTCCTTAATTTCATTGCACAAAATAATATAAAAAAATTCATACCAAATGTAGTAAATTAAGTTATAAAATATTTTCCCATGAAGCAGTAAAATTAAATACGATGAAAATTTATAACTTTAAAATTTCCTCCAAACGCAGTAAAATTGAAATTCTATGTAATAAATTGATGAAATGAAAATGCAGTACTAACTTTTTGATATTTTCATTCAGTGGCACAGGAATTCTATTCAAACTCGCACAGCTCGCCCACGAAGAATTGTTTTAATAATGATTTTAAGTTTCAAGTTTTCACACTCAACAACTCTAACACACGATAACAAGTTTCAAGCTTTCCTTTAACCCGGTTGGAAAGGAATTATATACTAAACCAAACTAACCAACGCAGCTTACTTAACACCACAAATCATAAAATAACAGCATGACTAAGAAAAGAAAACCAACGGTACCCAAACCGGATTAACCCAGTTTAAAACTGGATAATTTATTCTTTTGAAGACTATTATAAAGTCTAAGAAAGAAATAAAAAACACAAAAAAGTCACAAGACAAACCCATACCAAAAACAATTTGATTTTTGAAAAAAGGAGACAACCAAAGTAACATAAGAAAGACCAACATAAACCCAACATAAAACGTTATCACAAAACAGGACCTCTCAAAGAAATAGCACGAAATCATACTCCCACTCCTGGCCTAACCCACCAGAGAGGACGTCCTGCGCATGCTCTATAGCCGGCCTAACCCACCGCGCTACATCCACGCTTTGTGACCACACTTCTATTTTTAATAAGAGGTACTCAAGGGTGAGTAACTCTTCAAAATAACCGAACTAAAACAAAATGCTTTTGTGAAAACAACTAACTAAATTCATGATTAAAAAACCGAACTAACATAATTTTATAAGATGTAAATCATACCTTGCAGTATATAGATCAACACACAAAAACAAAGACGAACATCCAAAGACAAAATGATCCCATCACACTCGAACAAAGAATGGCTAATCACAATCGATATGCCGTCCACAATCACAACTCAAAGGATTTAGAGTACGACTTGACTTCGCAGAAAAAGACTTCATATATGTATACCAATGACCACCTCGATGTTCAAGTATACGCGCAGATCCGAGTTACGAGGCATCCCTTCCACACACGATCTCCACGCCATTCCCAGACGAAGTTGAACACAAAACAAGTTCTCTACATAATACAGAAAAACCCGTCATAGCAAATCATTTTGAAATCAGATTGATTTCATTGGGAATCACAGTCGTTGTCACAAGACGACGCAACGATTGTATGTCCTTAACTCCAGCGTCCTGGAACTTCTTTAACAAGAGGAACCGGACAAGAATATGATGTTCGCCAAATACCAACGTCCATCATCCATCCTTTGAATTGCAGAAAGATAATTCTAAAAAACTCTGTAAAACCCGGATGGGTCGAACCTGATCTAAACTACATTTTATGATTGGATAATTTAGATATTTTACCAATGTAAAGTATTTAATATTAACCAATCATGATCCATCTAACTAACAACCCACTTATTTGTAAGTGCTGAAGTTACTTGTAATTTCAGCACCAGAGAGATTTGAATTTAACTTAGAAATTAGTTGGACTCTCCCGAGCACTTCAGCAGCCGCAATAAACCAGTATACCCTAGATCTATTGAGCCTAGCAGAGACTCGTTAAACACCCTGAGACTAGAAAGTATAAGAGTAAGATTAGGATCGGTATTAGACTAAGAAGTTGCACGAATCTATCCGGCCGAAAATAAGATAGCGTGACGAGCAGACGGTGTACCCTATCAGAAATTACTCTATGAGTTAACCACATCGGTTCTAACTCACTAGGGTCTTTATAGTAGTTTGGGAGAGCTCAGAAAATCAATTTGTTCAACCTAAAAAAAAGGTCGAAAAAATTATCTTTTTTTTTTAGAAATTTATAGATCCGAGCCTGCTCCCTTCCATAAGCGTCTTGCCTAAACTTTTCTTATACATAAAATTATGGCCCTCGGAATAGACAAGTTTTTGATTTTTCTGACCGCTTTTTAGATCTTTTTGTCTATTCTCGAGAACTACTCTTCCAAACCACTTGGCCTCTGTGTTTTTAATTTGATTCGCCATGTACCTTAATAGTGGGTAACTAGCCCCGTCGAAGCTTAAGCTTACTCCCATTCTACGCCAGATATCGAGTAAAATTGCTTGCACTTATTTCAACACAAAAAACTTTTTTTGAGACCCAAGAAGAAAAGACAGGGTTTAAAAAATTTTTGTTTAGTTTTTACCTCGTAGTTCTCTGCGAGGAGCATGAGTTCGGCATTGCTTCCTCTGTGTCCATGATCTATCAGGTAGTCCTCGCTCTTCGCCCTTAGGGGCTCAATGTCATACACATGAGAGAGAGCTGCTAACTGCTCCACGTTATCATCTGAAAAGTACACAAAAAGTATAGTCGTGAATCTATGCCGCAGAAATAGTGATAGCGATAGCACTACTTCGGCGGTTGCCCTGAAAGTGTTACTCCGATCCAGGTGCGGATCTAGGATTTTCTCGAGGGGAGGGAGAGTTTTAAAAAAAATTTCTAAAACTTGTCAACCTTTTTTTAAAATCGCCTGGTTTCATTTTGACTTGGAATTCTGTCGAATTTGGATAGTGCGCTAAGATTATCATTTTTTCTAAGCGAGCGCTTCATGGGGAATTTTTGTGAAAATCAATTATTTCTTTTTTTTCTACCTGTGATGGGAATGTTAGGCTGGTAAAGATGAGTCAGCAGTAACTTCATGTCGCCCGGATCCTCATCCAGTTCCAGTTCTAGCAGACCATCGGCAGTGTACGACAACTGCTGCCTCGACTCCTGCTCCTCTTCTTCGAGTCGATTGGTCACAGTTTCTTCCACTCGTCTCTGCAGTCCGTCTTCGTCTTTGCCTTTGTTGTCTTCCGACTCTGCAGGTGGACTGCACTTCTCTTTGAACACCGGACTCCAGATCGACAGAAAATCTGAACACATTTTAAGATTATGACCATGCCTCCACGAAGAGAAGGATAACTTTCAAACTGCGCGGCTGCTTACAAAAAGTCAGTTGCTGTACAAGTAGCACAGAAAGTTCCGTCCTCAAATAAAAAACATTGTATTTTTTTTTTTGCAAATGTAACGTTTTTATTCGTTTGGTGATGAGCGGATCTGAACAAAAACCCAGAAAGTAAATTCATTCGATATTGAGAGTAGAATACGTACATTTTACAATGGTTTTCATCAAAAAAGTCAATCGAAAAACAAAAAATTTAAAAAAGATTGTATTTTTCAAATTTTTTTCAGAATTTTTTTTTTCGTTTATGTTGTCAAGAAAGCGTTAAAAGAAGTAAAAACAACTATTCCTGGAGTAAACTTAGTCTTACGTCTTATTTGCGTGTTGTAGGCCTGCTCGCTCGCTGTATTCGCTCGGAGTTAGAGTTAGACCAAAAATCCACAGCTGAGATTTTTTGGCAATTTTTCAACGGGGTTCGAATCACGACTGCAAGTGCTTGTATATGATATATCACTCGACCTCTTCCGACGATTATTTGGGGTGCCTGATTTAACGTGGAAACCAAAAAAAGTAGAGAAAACTCATTTTTTTAGTGGTCGGATCAACTACTGTTGTGCCCCTGCTTAAGAAGCACATGCATTTTTGTTGGTTAAACTGCTGAGCTAAGAACTGTTGCCTCAAAGACACGACAAGCACCGTTCATGTAAGGCCTCCAAATACCAGAGAGAGGAATATTGTTGCCAATTTTCCATTGTGCCCCCAGGTCATTTGTTTGAGACAGACATAAGGTTAATCAACAATCCAATTCTTTTTCATTAAGTAGGAAATGCGTGTGTATGTAAAATTGCACACTGTATTTTCTGAGCAGGTGGTATTTACCTCCGGAATATACCAACTTTGAGCGGCACACAGCCTAGCACCAGATAGGTAAATTCACTAAATTGGTTGCTTGTGCTTGTGATAGCAGCAGTACCTTGTATCATATTCATTTTGTACCCACAACTTCGAAAAACTCTGAAATCAGATACAAAGTTTCCCCTTTTGATTTTGGAGGTTTGGGGAAAATGGTGCGTCTGCGAAAATAGGCATCTTGAAAGACTGCAGATACAAACGATAAAGAAGTCTAGCATTACCTTTGTGACAGTAGAGCTGTTTTTTGTCCCTGCATTCAATCACCATACTACACGTGCCATCATCCTCCTCGAAATCGAACTGCTTCTGCCCTCCCTCTTCGGTCGCCCTCTTGCTGTCAGAAGTGGTCACTGCCCGAGAAGTCTTTTCCCGCCCTGTTTTTCCTACGTCTTGAGTCTTCGTTTTCTCCCGTCCGTCCCCACCTGTCGTTCCTTTTTTGTCTTGACTGCCCCCACCTGTGGTTCCTTGTTTCTGCTGCATGTTTGGAGCCGTTTTTTGCTTTGATGTTTTGGTAGCCATGGCCGAACAGTGAATATGAGTAAATAAAAATACACGCGCTTTTAAATAATAAGCCAATAAATGCTTTAATAAAAATAGAGTGCAATTTTTGATCAAAATCGTTAAACGTATATCACGAACAGTTTTTGAACAGCATGCGCGGCAAAAAAACAGCTTTCAGATAAATACAAAAAGTAGATATTAGACGATTTATTAGATGATTTTATGTTTGAGTTAATTTGAGTTAAGACTCATATTACAACGCATTATTAAACGATGTTTTAACGTTGGCTAGATACTACCAGAGAGAAGAGGTCGATTTGTTCACAATTTAATACAAAAAAAAACATTTTGTTCGTTACTTTCAGCTACCCTGGTAATATGTGAATTTTTGACACCATATTTTCTAAGTACATAAAGAAAAAAATTGTTACAAAAGTTTGTCAGTATCGCGAAGTTTTATTTTTCGGAGAACCATTAATGAAGTATTGTCAAAAATGACCTTGTACTTAACAAAAAAGTGCTACTAGTTTAAAGTTTAACGAATAATTAGATCCAAGCGTAATTTTTTTTCGGTTATGTTAGTTTTAGGGTGCCTGAAATCAAAATGATAACAAGACTGCAGGTATCAGAGAAAAGGACTAAATACTTGCCGTTTAAAATCGATGAGTTTTTTTTCTTAAAAGTTAATACGGTATTAAAAAAATGCAGCAAGGTTGATTTTTTTTTTCATTTATATACCACACGCTATGTTAAGCACGTCATGGTGATATATTTTGAGTGTTGTAATCCCTCAAAAATTGTAAATTACTTGCCTCAATTCAATTTGGGAAATACACCACCTTATTTTGAGCGTTAATTATCCCAAGTTGGCCAAATTGGCACTTCTCTAACAATCATAAGTGTACAAAAAGAGTAAAAAACGCTGGCAAAGGTCAAAGTTGCTGGTATAAGGTCAAAGTTTGTCTGCAGAAAAAACCTGCCCGAGCAAAAAAAAAAATCAGTCGCGTTCTTCATTACGAGGCCAAACTGTGCACTGGATAGGAGCACAATTTTCTGTCTGTATGTTCCTGGATTCCAGAGACAAGTCTTTAAACATGTGAAAACTTTGTCGGAACGATCAAAGGAAAGTAAGGAACAAAAGAAGAGCAAAGGGAGCGTCCTTGTTACGAAATCCGCTTACGATGTACAAAATGCACAGTTTGGCATCGTAATGTTCGTAATTCGGAACAGTGAATTATATTCGTTGCAAAGTATGCACTTGTTAAAATCTCACCGCTTAATATTAAGAGGGTTCAATAGAAATGAAGAAAATGAACAACATTTATTTGCGGCTTGTGGCATGAAACATACCAACCGCACTCAGAAATAAGAGAATGAAACAACCCTATCTTTGCTCCCTACCTTTTTTCAGAGTTAAAATTCTTCGCCTCAGCATGGAATGAGAAAGTCTGAGAAGGCATATGAGTTTTTTTGGCAAAAATAATCGGATATCTCTAAACAGGTACCGCGACGGGATCAGCTTTAACAGATAATCGAGAGTAGTTTCATTCGTTATAAATTGAATCTAAGTTTTTGGGGTTTGACTGCAGCGTTACCCGTGACGAAGGTAGTTGAAGTCTACAAGCTCTGATCAGTTAATTGAGTTTTTTACATCACCCTTTGGTCTGGTTTGAACTATTTATAAATTGCTATTAGGGCATTCTCTGCTAACTAACTTCAGCTGTATCATTCAAAACATCATGCTACTCCTCTGCGGTAGATGACTCGAGATTTTTTGCCAACGCAATTTCCGACAAAACAATTTGTGTGTCATTAGAATCAAAACACAATCTTCAGGGTTCGCGTCTTACCATTTATAATAATAATCATAATATTGAATTAAACCCGCAAGGGGGGATTAGTTGCTCTTAGTCGTTGATAACAAAGTTTGTAAAATAAAAACCATGACTCGAGGATAAATCGAGTTTTTAAATGGTTGCAGTTTGTCAAACAATAACAGGTTCAGATTCTTTCTAAAGATTACAGGTTCTTGAAAAAGATCATAACCAGGCAAATTGTTTGATCTCGAAAAGATGTTTGACATTTCTGCGACACGGTAAAAGAAAACTTCACAAAGTTTGCTCCGTGTTATCATTAGCATTCTAAGAAACATCTTGTTTCCCGTTCGATTTGAATCAGGGCCCTTGTCGAATGTCCAAAAATCAAGAAAATTTGTGTGCATCAAATACGTTAACCTGGAAAGCGTTCATTGTTTGAATGAAAAACAACCGCGGAAAAATCATGCTGCAAGCTTTTGACGATTATGTGGAGCTGAATTTTTTTCACAGGCTCTGTAGCATAAGTGCTTCAGATGGTCATTTGACCTAACTATGGAAGACCGAAGTGCCATTGAAAAATTAGTTCTGTATGACTTTCAGTAGATCTTAAGTCTTCATACCAAATCTGGTCACTCTACCTCTACATGTTTTGAAGCAAATGAAAGACGCGGACGGCATAACGGGATATTTATACAACCGGGTCTAAAATAGAAGAAACGCAATCAAGGCAATTTGATTTGTTTGAAAAAGTTTTTTATGGGGCTATCTTACTCTGCTAACAACTATCGATCCTTTTTTAGTCCTTAAATATACGATGACTGGTCTGGACTGTTTTTTAACGTACGACTACTCTGGTTATTGATGGACAACAAATGGAGGCAATTTGTTGGACTCGTGGTTTATTTTTAGAGTTTCATCCTAACTTTGCAAGTTTAGTCGGAATCAAAACAACTTAATAAAAGCAAGGAGACTAAAACAGCATCTAACTTTAAGTGATGAACAAGTATTTGCTCATATAAAATCCGTCGGCGGGTTATGACTGATGTAGCTTCAGAGTAGGCGACATTTTAACCCTTGCAGGTTTTTTCTGAACAAAGTATGCGCATGTCGGTGGTTACCACTCCAACAAAATGTGGTAATTGTAATGGGGAAACTAATGTAGGAGTTTCCCCTCAATAAAAGTGGGAATTTGGTAAAGATCAAACTTTCCTACTCAGAGAAACAGTGTCTCTATTTTAGCGGAGACGGTGTCATTGGGTTGTCAAAATTTCCAAAATTTAGTTACCAAGTTTGGTAGCAGATACGGACCCCCTTTAAAGGTTTTTAGTGATGTGCAGTTGAAACATAGATGCCGAAGTGTGTCAAAAACAGTGATTTCCCCATTTTTGGAGTGGTAACCATGTCGGTGGTTACCACTCCAAGAAAATGTGGTAATTGTAATAGGGAAACTAATGTACGAGTTTCCCCTCAATAAAAGTAGGAGCTTGGTAAAGATCAAACTTTCCTACTCAGAGAACAGTGTCTCTATTTTCGCGGAGACGGTGTTATTGGGTTGTCAAAATTTCCAAAATTTATTTACCAAGTTTGGTAGCAGATACTTTAAAGGTTTTTAGTGATGTGCAGTTGAAACATAGATGCCTGATCAAGGAGTCGACGCACTTTGTCCGGTTTATCCGGATGGTTTTTCAATGCTGGTTTTTAGTTGACGAGGTTTTTTTGAACCAACATCGTCTCTCAATTGGTGTTTTTTTTCTAGAGTGAATGACAAGAGGAAAACAAAGTTCTTGAGATTTGTATGCAATTTCTAGCACAGATCGAGTTTTGCTTTCTTGTGGAAAATGAAACTTTGCGGTTTTCTTTTGATCTCCTCAAACAGTAGAATTTAGAAGCAAGTGGCTAAAACATTGTATTCTTCAAATACTCAAAAGCAGCACAATTTTTGGTATCCGGAACAACATTTACGGACTCCGAATCAGTTTGGAGATCCATAAGAATTTAAGCAGTTATTTGTACAGTGATTTGCGCTGGTGTCCAATCTACAAATTTTAAACGGATTCCACTAATAGCAAGCTGAATCCAAATGTTTGCGGACTTCAGTAGCATCTGCTAAAGGGTTTGTGTTATAATTCAGGCCATTCAATCTCAAATGCTATTCGACCATAAAACATAAAAAAATATTGTTTTAACAAATTTGATATTTATGTGTTTCTAAATCCGGATCACAATAAAATTATTCTATCGTTTTACACAGGGGCGGATTTAGGGGGAAGGGTGTGGAGGTTGATTCCCCCACCCCCACCAGGCTTCAGCAATTTGACCCCCTCACCAACGAAAGAGTCCCCATTTTGGTATTATTTTATGACATCCATTTCAGGCTGATCAATACTAAAATTTTTCTGAAGGCGGCTTCGGCGAAAATATATTCTAAAATTGAAGGGGAGCGGGTGCAAAAAAAACGCAACTTTTTCGTCAAAATTTTCCAGAAAGTGCCCAATTTGTGCAAAACGGGTGCAAAACTTTTTCGTCAAAATTTTCCAGAAAGTGCCCAATTTGTTATCCTACAAGGTATCTTATTGGAAAACTAAATGATAATTCTAAGAATGTATTTTCTTGTCGTTGAATTAATAGTTATCTTTCTTTTAGCTGCTGAGATACAAGTTAGGCTCAACACACACTGAACTCTCAGCTGTGAACCAAGAGTCTTAGATATCATGACCTTGCACACTTTTAATAATATAAAATAGTTATTCACTGAAGGTTACGGTTATATCACCTTACTGCTATTGCAGTAGAAGTATCACATACCCCTCGAGTGAAAAGCTTTTCTGATACAAGAAATAACTTAAAATAACAATAGATATTTAACTCAGTTTCTAAAAAGTTCAGTAAGTGTTAGATTTCATAATTGTCTATTCTTTTAGTTTTCATCTAGTTCTATCCTCCACCTAGGGTTCAGTCTACTCCTTTGTCCAGAGTGGCAAATCTCAAATTCCTTCTGAAGAGATGTCTCTCGAAAAGCCCCAGTCTCGACTCTATCGGCCTGTCATTTCGTGTCTTGAACTCGGTTAATCGTCTTCTGTACTCTTGTAAGGCCGCTTTTAAGAGTGCTCCCCCTGATAATTCTTCTTCTGAAATTTCATTGATGGAATATTTGACTGGTCCTCAAAGCGTTGTGGTTCTTTACTCTTGTTTTGCGGTGAGCTTCTTCAAATGCCAGCTTCTTCCACGCTGAAGTCATCTGATGACCCCTGTGGGGGTTCGAGTTTGTCGTCTTTTTCGCCGATTCACTGGTTTTTTACTCTCAGCTCATCCGCCACCTTCTGTACAACCCTTTTGAGGACTTGGTCTGCCAGGTTTTCTCAC